AAAGGGAGAGATGAGGTCGGCTAGAGGGAGATAGATAGGAATAAGACTCAATTATGTTTAATTATTCTGCTTAGTAGAATAGATCTCACTAGCTAACTATTTATATAATTCGCTAATTACCAAATGCTACCTCAAACATTATAACCCGCCAATAATTCCTCCCCCCCCCCCCCCCCCAATAATGTTTAACAACTCATAACAAATAATCAACCGATAAAACGATCAAAGCATCAATGAGAAGCACTATTGCCTTCCGAGACAGCGAGTGCGGCCCCAGCCTTTTCGCGAGTAGTTTCTCCAGCATCTCACGAATGACCTGTACCACATGGGCCATGCTTTCCTGACCCTCGCTCAGGCTTGCGACCGTTACTCTAAGCTTGTCGACCTTGGTACGCAACACCCTCCGTGTCCATGAGATCTTCGAGAATGCCATCGACCTGCGAACCCGAGCGCTTATCCTACACCGCCTTGTCCTAGCTAGGCAGCCTTTTCAGCCGCAGTCATGGACTTGGTTTGCACCATTGTGGCCTCAACGACACCCTGGCTTGAGTCGAGACTGACTCGTTTAGACTCTGATACCAATATGATAGAACCAAGAATTTGGCTCTATCTAGGGATAGGGAATTAGGGGATCAATTTGGGATTTGATCTCCCAATTAGAACTAGGGATTGGGGATTGGAGAAGTGATTTAGAAGAAGGAGGGGAAGAAGAATAAGTTGCGGCAGCAGCTAGGGAAAGGGAGAGGTGAGGTCGGCTAGAGGGAGAGAGATATAAGAATAAGACTCAATTATATTTAATTATTCTGCTTAGTGGAATAAACCCACTAGCTAACTATTTATATAATCCGCTAATTGGGGAATGCTACCCCAAATATTATAACCTGGCAATAGTTCCCTCCTCCCCCAATAATGTTTAACAAATCATAACAAATAATCAACCGATAAAACGACCAAAGCATGCAAAGTCTATGTTTCCATCATCAGGTTTCTATCTATTCCTATTATTAGACATTTATTGGAGGATTTGTTATTTTTGTTATTTTTTGGATTGATTTTGGTACTTTATTGGAAATATTGGGAGTTATTTCATTAATTAGCAATAGGTGAAATTATGGATAGTTGTAGGAAAATTTTTTAGTTTATATATATTTGTAAATGAGAATAACCCACCAAATTTAATAAGAATATTAATTATCTAAACCTACTTATCTATATCTCTCCCTCCCATCTGTAAACCTCGTCTCCCACTACTCTCTCTACAACCAACCACCTTCCCTCTCTTCATCAGTTTTCAGTCAATTCATCCCTAATCTCCCAATTCTAATCCCTCAAGTACATCAATCCCTAATTGATCTTACTATTTTCAATCTCAATCCGGGAGCACCTTAGATCCTTATTTCTATCAATACATCACAAGCAAAATCTTATGTTTGAGTTCCAGTTGATCTTGTATTGGTGCTCCTAGAGTTGAGTATGCTAGATAGAGTTACGTTGAGACTGCTAGAACAACGAAGGTTGTGTTTGGTTCCAGATTGGGGTCGCCACCTTCGTGTCTCATGCATCTCTGATTCCCTCACGTTGTCCTTTGTTGGGTGAAGTCTATAGAATATGGAATCTATGGTTTTCCTTATTGCCTCGGGACCTTGCTACTCCACCTCCATTGTCAAACGCCTAAAGTGTTGTCTCTCAATCTCAATAGGATCCATAAATTGATCTTGGTTTGATGGATTTTTGTAGTCCAAAGTTTTTCATAATACATGAAACTCCTCTGCATAGCACTAACGATCGACATCCACATGCTCCATGGTCTGGAAAGCATAGAAAGACCATGCATGACCCAAAAATGGCACACAGATCGCCATTGAACTTGGCAGCCCTATCTAACATTAGATTGATAGCCTTGATGATAACCTTCTTCTTCAAGTGCGTGCATGGGGGCTCGATTTCTCTACTGAAAAGGCAGTTCAAGGAGTTGTGAAGCTCCACCCCAGGTTCCAAAAACTAATTATCAATACATTTATGGTTCTTGTATAAAATAGTGACCACCCCATCCAAAAGAATTGAGGAATGTCTTCAATGATGAGTGAGATGACTCTACCTTGTTCGTCCTCATGTTCCCTAGATGGAGCATATCCTTCGTACACCATGTTTCCTACTTTCTCTTATGGTGCATACATTTTCCATGCACGTAAGCTAGCTACCAGATCGTCATTCCGAGTCTTCTTAACTTCTATGAACTCCGTCAATTTTGCATGAATTCCTTGAGTTATCCACAAATGAATGACCTTGTTAATCTAATTATTCCATATGTACTCCGCCAACTCTCACTTTGACCTCTCCCCAATATAGACTCAAATTTCGCTTTCATGTTGACGGTGATGTGCCATTAACATAATAAGTGGTATATGTTTCTGGCTTGAAGAAGACCAAAGGAATGGAAGCAAGTAGATTGCCCTCTTTGTATGTTAAAATTGAATTTGTTACCCAAGGTCCGAGCATTGGGGTACACATCTAAGCAGCCACTCACGCGCACGACTCCGTTGTTTCCTTTTTAACAAGTGCACATGCAATGTTAAAATTCTTTCCCACTGGAGTAACCCTGACAACCTCAACCCACAACATGTTGTACCTACTATCTTTTAGATGGAATAGATGAGGTTTATGTACGGCTACACACAACATCTGAATTGAAATCGGATCGACAAATAACAGGTGACCCGAGCTCATTATTGCCATCCTTTTTCGTTCAATATAGTAATTCAACTCCTCATCTCCTTCAAGGGCATAATAGACCACGTCTGTTTTGCGTATGTCATCCAATCTTGTCTTGTTTTTAAGTTATAAAACTGTTTGATATCATGTCGGATACTCTTTCATTATTCATGTCTTCTTTTCTTGAGTCGGTTTCGCTCCTGTCTGTTTCATTCCTATTTCACGAGTTTTTATCATCTTCGATGAATTGTTTGTTATTTCAATGATACCGTTGAAACAACACCTTCTCAAATTTTTTTTGAAATCCATAATTTTGTCAGGGTGTCATCGATCTCACCTCGGCTATAACAAAGTTGTTCGAGCCTCCACTTTGTCACATTTTTTAATTCTCACTTAGACTCACAATTTTATCACTTCGAACTAGCACTCCCACGTCGCCCTTGCATAGGGTCTAGTTTGTATGAATTTTCATTCTTAGATTTATCACAATATATATAACATCGTTCAAGAGATTCTATTCCAAACTTTATGCAATATCCTTGAGCCTTAACAATAAAGAAACCATGTGAATATGTGATACTTTTTTGTCGCTTGCTCAGCTAGATCGAAAGATGTATATTGTATGCTAGTAACAAAGTATCATGTGTAATCGAAGTTTGGCTTGAACATTTTCTACATGTTTCCTACAACTACAATTATATTCATTGTTATAAGAACTAAACCGGATCTATGGATGAACTAGTAGAACCACCAAATCAGTTACAATTGCGGTTCGGTTCATTTACTTAGACAGCTAGGATGGATCGACGGATTTTAATAGTTTGACATAAAACCAGGTGAACCACCGCGGTTTGATTGGCCCACTGGTTCACTATTATACCAAAAAAATTAAGAAAAAATATTTTAAAATAAACTAAGACCAACCAATGTGAATTACTAATTCAATTTATGCTTTCTTTTCTTGATTTCCTACTCCTTTTCGGCTTTATGTGGTCCAATACGGGTTGTCATCCTAATTACTAACTTAAATTTAATAAAAGAATTTATTATTTATTTTGCTAGATAGTTTGAATGATTTGTTAGAAATTTTGGTGATAGAAGATATGAATTTGAAATTTTTATGATTAGTGACAAATTTATTTCTAACTTAGTGTATTATATGTCTTTTATTTTATAGCGTATGAACAGTTCTATGAACGATTAACCAACAGTTCTATAACGGTTAACCACCGAACCATAAACCACTTACTTTTGCGGTTCAACATCCAGTCTGATTCCGAAAACAGAGATCATATTATAACACATGAATAATAATATTTTCATATACTACTAATTTAAGTCTATTCAAATATCTAATTAATAAACATTCACATCTATACGATAATCTACGATTCAATCATATAATAAGCACAATGAACTAACTACCTAGTCGAACATAATTTTTTTATAAATTTAAATCCTACATATAAAAATTTAGTTATAAATTCTATGGGTTAATTGCAAGGATGGTCACTGGGTTTACTAAAACCGTTCATGTTTGGTCACTGCAAATATTTAATTCCATTCATGGTCACTAAGATTAGTTCAATAGTTCAAGTTTGGTCACTCCCGTTAGTCTCCGTTAGTTTTTGCTGATGTGGCAGTCAACTATTATAGTTGACTGTTAAATGAGTGACATGGCCAATAAAAAAATAAAAAAATTTAAATATTTATAATTTCCACCTCATTTTACAACTATTAAAAAATAAAAATAAAAATAAAACTTACCTCCTCTGGCCGTCGAGTGGGCGAACTCTGCCTTCTCCTTCAACTTCCCCCCTTCATTTCTCTTCCTCCTCTTCTCCTTCCGCTCCTCTGCCGTTCCTCAATTTGAGGAGGAAATCGACCGCCGCAGACAGACAGCACGTTTACTAGCAGTGTATTAATCAATCATCCCTACCAAACGATTGCTAAAACATTAAAGTATTCCCAACACAGAGACAGAGACAAAGCAATTGGAGCTAGTTTGCCACGAAGCCCTCCTCTTTATAAACCCACGGACTAGCCACAGAGGTTTCCCCACATCTCACTCTCCCCCTTTCCCTCTCTCTATCTGTTTCATGTTTCCGCAATCAAAGGGTAATACTTCAATCCCATTTTCCCAAATCTCTCCTCTGTCTTCCTATCTATTTGAATTTGTAATCCCCTAACTTGAATTGAAATCTGCAGAAACAATGGCTTCCCACCACCACCTTATGAAAACCATGCTTCCCCTGTTTCTCCTCCTCGCGACTGTCTTCACCGGAGCAATGGCTGCTGCACCGAAGAAGCCCGTGAACGTTCCTTTCGGAAGGAAGTACACTCCCACATGGGCTTTCGACCACATCAAGTACTACAATGGCGGCAACGACATTCAGCTGGTCTTGGATAAATACATCGGTAATCTCTCAACCCATCCCCTGTTTTTTTTTTTTTCTAATTTCATATTTGGGTTCCTCGTGTTTTCTGAAAAGAAACGGTCTTTTGTTGTTGGTTTTTGGCCGGGACGGGTTTCCAGTCGAAAGGGTCGTACTTGTTCGGCCACTTCAGTATGCAGATCAAGATGGTTCCCGGAGATTCCGCCGGAACTGTTACTGCTTTCTACGTAAGTAAATGTTTTTTTCTTTTTCCCAGCAAGGAGTTACTAATTAAGTAAACGTGCTGTCTGTGGACATGGGTAGCTAATTAAGTTGTTATTAATCGACCGCCGTGGTCGATTTCCTCCTCAAATTGAGGAACGGCAGAGGAGCGGACGGAGAAGAGGAGGAGGAGAAATGAAGGGGGAAGTTGAAGGAGAAGGCAGAGTTCGCCTTCTCGACGGCCACTCGACGGCCAGAGGAGGTAAGTTTTATTTTTATTTTTATTTTTTAATAGTTGTAAAATGAGGTGGAAATTGTAAATATTTAAATTTTATTATTTTATTATTTTTTATTGGCCACGTCACTCATTTAACGGTCAACTATAATAGTTGACCGCCACATCAGCAAAAACTAACGGAGACTAACGGAGATTGACCAAACTTGAACTATTGAACTCATCTTAGTGACCATGAATGGAATTAAATATTTGCAGTGACCAAACATGAACGGTTTTAGTAAACCCAGTGACCATCCTTGCAATTAACCCTAAATTCTATAATTGTTTTTTTATGAATCCAAAATTGCATTTAAGCGCCAGGAAACCCTAAAACCAGGGATTCTCTCAATAGTACTTAGTTACACATTGATAACTGAAAGAGACAAATCAAAAAACCTATAAAAAACAGGGCCAAGTACAGGGAACTTATAAACTAAGCAATCCACTTCAGAGCGGATCCGGCGTGCTAACTGGAGCAGGGAAATAGCAGGACTATCCCCATACCATCTTTTGCATCGTTCCTTCCAAACATTGCTGATGGCCAAACGCCACAGAAGACGGCCAACTCTAGTTGCATCATCTTTATCCTTCTAGCGCTCCAAAGCCCATGACAATGTGTCTTCCCAACAGCGAAAAATAGGAAGTGGCACAGCAGCAAAAAGAACATGCATCACACACTCAAAGTAGGAACAAGTACCAAAGAGATGGCTCCTGCTCTCCAAGCCACCTGGGCATAACACACACACAACAGCAACCGACCTCCCCCATGACATAAGCTTGTCCGCAGTAGAGATTTTGTTCTGAATTATGATCCATGACAGAACACTGTACTTGGGGATAATAGGCTTACCCCCAACAAGCCCTGACCAACTCACCTGAGTCGAAGGAGTACGAATACTTAGCCAAACTCGCTTGACAGAATAGCGAGTCATAGCACAACCATCCCAGCAAAGAGAAGGACCGGCACCTGTGATAAATCTGCCAGCAGTGTCTCGAAGTTTCAAAATTCGCTTCCAAACCCAAGACCCCACTGAGGTAGTAGAAACGTCTCAAACAATTTTGGCCTTGAGTCTATACATACGGATCCATGCTACCCAAATAGAGCCACTGCAAGCAAGAATCGACCACAAGTGCCTAATAACACAAGCCTTACTCCAGACACGAAAATCCTTTATACCCAAACCCCCCTTAGACTTTAACATGACAACAAAAGACCATTGCGCAAGAGCTTTAGATCTGCTCCCATCAACACCCGCTCCCCACAAGAAATCATTGCATATTTTCTCAATATCCTTAAGGACACCAGTTGGCAATACGAATATGTTCATCCAGAATTGAAGGACACTGAAAACAACTGACGAAACAAGCTGAATCCGACCCGCATAACTGAGCTTCTTCGATTGCCAACCTCTAATCCGAGAGGTGATTCTATCAACAAACACCTTACAATCAACCCTACTGAGCTTACCTGAAAGCAAGGGAACCCCCAGATAACGTGCGGGCTGGAAAGGGGAAAACCAGTACTACTTGATATAAATTGTTGCTCTGCCTCTGAAATACCCGACAGAAGCTGACTTTTCTCAGGGTTACACTTAAGACCTGATACCATATAGAAAGCATCCAACAAACGCCTAATACTTGCTACCCTTCGCACAGAGCAATTTGAGAAAACAAGCAAATCATCTGCAAAGCACATATGCGTAATCTCTAACTTCTTACACCGAGGATGATAGGGTATCTGATTCTCAATAGCAGCTTTGTGCAACAAACACGAGAAAACTTCCGTGGATATGGTGAAAAGGTAAGGAGAGATTGGATCCCCTTGCCTAAGACCATTTCCCGCTTTAAAAAACCCGCAAATCCCCCCATTAAATGCAACTCTGAAGCTCAGAGAGGTAATGCAAGTTCTAACAATATCAACAAAACAATCTGGGAACCCCATGGCAGTCATAACTCGAAACAAAAACCAACAATTGACTGAGTCAAAGGCCTTTATCAAGTCTATTTTCACTATGCATCTAGGAGTGATTGATTTCTCGTGGTAATCTTTAACTAGTTCATAAGCCATTAATATACCATCACTAATTAGCCTTCCTTTGACAAAAGCATATTGAGCAGGGCTAATCACACGAGGCAGAACTAAAGCCATTCTATTCGCACGAAGCTTAGAAATGGCTTTATAAAGAACATTACAACATGCTATAGGCCTAAAGTCTTTCATCCTCTCAACAATCGAAAGCTTAGGGACCAAGGAAATGATAGAGGAGTTTACCTCAGGGGAGAGCAGACCAGTTTGAAAGAAGGAAAGAATAGGTGCCTCAATGTCAGGACCAATGACTTCCCAATCAGCTTTATAGAAGTCAGTTGGGTAGCCATCAGGCCCAGGTGCTTTGTCCGGCACCATAGCAAAGAAAACATATCGAATTTCCTCCCTTGTAACACGTCTAAGTACACAAACCACATCATCATGTGAGAGCTTTGAACGAAGCAACCCTTCAAAGTAACTAACTGGAAAGCCCATTACATCAGGATTACTTTCCCCAAGAAGCTTCTTATAAAAGTCAACCTCAAGCTGACCCGTCTCCTTAACATCATAAACAACCTGCCCTTCATCAATAGTGAGCAGCCTATTCCTAATCTCCACATAGTTGTGAAAGAAACCAGTATTAGCATCCCCTTCATTGATCCACCCCACCCTTGACTTCTGCCTATAAAAAGATTCCTCAGTAGCTTGCAACTCAGAACAAGTTAACGCAAGATCTTTCTCCTTTGCAACATTCTCAAGAGTAGGTAAATCCAAAACAACAGACTGCGCTTCTACCAACTGACCCTCAGCCTCACGAGCACTACTAGAGATGTTAGAGTACTAGTCATATTCAAGACAGTAAGCCCTTTTTTCAAACGCTTCATTTTCCGAATTACATTCTGAAATTGATCAGGTCTAACAGTAGCATCCCAAGCATCCTTGAGAATGTCCTGATACTGCGGATGTGATCTCAAGAACTTGAAATATTTGAAGGGTTTAGGAAGACTTTTTAGTACTTTTGTTGTTGTAACAAGGAGACCACAATGGTCAGACACTCCAGGACTGATAGTACAAGCATAGCTAGAATTACAGATATCAAACCACATGTCATTGACCAACACTCTGTTGATTCTCTTGGCAATGGGATTGTGCTCTTGTTTATTCCACCAAGTGAACCATGACCCAACAACTTTATGATCAATCAGTTGCATATCCTCAATCCATGCTCTAAAGTCCAACATACTCTGAGTGACAACCACAGAATTATACGCCTCATTAAGTTCAGCAATAGCATTAAAGTCTCCTAAAACTATCCAGGGGATAGTCAGACATTTACACCTAGATAGTTCTCCATAAAGCTGTTGGCGTTGAGAAGTCTTGTTAGGACTATAAACTGCAGTAACAATTAACTCCTCTAAGCCACTATTCACTTTCACATGAAGAAAGTGTTCACCAGAATCCAACTGAGTAACTTTCAACTCATTCCTCCAGACCCTACCAGACTTGGACTTGCCATAATCATCCATATGCTCCCACCCACCAAACTGCCCATTCACTATAGCACCAGAAAATTCTACAAAATAACTTGTATTTCTAAAATAGCAACAAAATCTACCTTAAATTTATTTAGTATACTATATACATACTTCTTTTTTTACGGGGTGTTAAAGCTCCTGATATTCCAATATAATAGAATCATCGACGCTTACTCTTCCCGTTCCCTTGTTAAAAGGCGCAGGAACTTTGGCAGCACCAGACTTGTTACCTAACTTACTACCAGACTCTTCAATTCTAGCCACAATCTTATCAAGCTCAACATCCTCATCACACCTCCAGATTCTAGGTTCAACCGCCTTAGTACCACTTGTTGAAGCAACATAGGAGCCCAACTGTAATTCTTTAGGAACAAGATGGAATCCTCCAGGAGAAGAAACGACATCCGCAAGGATTGTAGTGAGAGGGGAGACCGGCGTAATCACTTGAGGAAGCTGTTAGGTCACCGCCTGGGAGACCTCCTTCTAACCTTCTTTAGGGCTCCAAGAACCCTCCACCTCCACCTTACATTCAGACCCTTGACCCTTCTCATGGCCATTGACCTGAAAACAAAGACAGCACGGAGGAAGTCTCAAATACTCAACTCGAAGAGAGAAAGCCACATCACCTTCCGGCTGAACCAAAATTTCCTCCCTGAACCCACAATCAACCCCCGGATCCACACAGAGTTTAGCAGTGCCTATGTTTGTACCCAACTTCGTTGCCTGATCCATCTAGAGCGGAACCTCAAGAACACTAGCAATTCGGCTAAGACCATCAACTGTGTGGTATTCCAGCGGAATCCCCCAAATCTTAACCCAAATCGGCAACGATGACAGCTGAATATCCAGAGGCTGGATCCCAGGCGTCCAACGACGCAAGAACAAGGGCACATGTTGACAGTGCTATGGCCCTCCCTCAAAAACCTAGATACTCGTAGCAAAATCAGGAAACTGGAAGCGGAACATGGAATCCCCAAATCTAGATACATGAATTTGCCCCTCGCACCCCCACAAACTATTTTCCCGTGTCTGAATCGTCTGGATCGACGGTGACTCGGCCATAAACTCCCCGATTAGGGATTCTCTCTACTGTGTCGCCCCAGCATCCCTCAATACCCGAGGAAGGAGAAGAGCACCAGCGGTCACCTTCGGCTGAATGAACCGTAGATGACTACCCTCCTCCACACCAAAC